GGAGGCCTGTGGCAACCCCTCCCCCCAGTCTCTGGAGCCGAGGGAGGGGACAGGGGAGCCAAGCACATAGAGTGGAAAGAGGAGGAAAAGTGGCCAGGGGGACAGGCGGGGAGCGTGGTCCTCTTGCCCCCATCTTCCTCAGGGGCTGGGGGGGGGGAGCAGAGTCGGTGGTGGCCCGTCCTGCCAGGCCCCGCTGCCCCTCAGAAGAGGCCGCAGTCCTTCAGGTTGTTCTCGATGATGACGTCGGTGACAGCGTCGAACACGAACTGCACGTTCTTGGTGTCGGTGGCTCACGTGAAGTGCGTGTAGATCTCCTCGGTGTCCTTGCGCTTGTGCAGGTCCTCAAACTTACTCTGGATGTAGCTGGCTGCCTCGTCGTACTTGTCGGCCCCCGTATACTCAGGAAGGCAGACGGTCAGGGGGCTGTGTGTGATCTTCTCCTCGAACAGGTCCTTCTTGTTGAGGAAGAGGATGATGGACGTGTCCGTGAACCACTTGTTGCAGATACTGTCGAACAGCTTCATGCTCTCGTGCATGCGGTTCATCTCCTCGTCCTCAGCTAGCACCAGGTCATAGGCGCTCAAGGCTACGCAGATGATGATGGCTCGGAGGCTCTTAAAGCGGCGAATCCACTTCTTCCGCTCGGACTGCTTACCACCCACATCAAACATCTTGAAGTGTAGGTCTTTGAAGGTGAAGTGTGTCTCCAGGATGCCCGTGGTCTTCACGTGGGTCCGCAGCACATCCTGCCGCGTGGGGATGTAGTCACCTTGTGCAGTGCGCTCCAGGTCATTCAGGTAGTAGGCAGCAGTCATTGAACTGGTACCAAAGCAGGCCTGCACACCACAGTCAGCCCAGAGCCTCCGGATGACACCGGACAGGTCCTCAGGGAGCACGCCCTTCTCCTCAGCCACGCAAGACAGTGCAGACAGCTGCCTGGCGTCATCCGCTTGGGAGGAGTCAGCAAAGTCAATCTGCAGATTGCCCGTGGCTTTGACGATGACCATCATGGACTGGATGGTGTTGCTGTAGACGACTGCCCGGTACTGCCGGCATTCCTCCTCTGAATCGCCATCTTCATGGATGATCTTCATCCGCTTTACAATGGTGCTCTTCGCTGACTCCCCAGCACCCAGCAGCAGCAACTTCACCTCCCGCGCCGCCTTCCCGCAGGTTCTTGTCCATCACCTTGGGGTGCTCGGCCGCCGCCTTATCCTAGGCGCTCACGGTGCAGCCCGTCCCGCCGTCCTCCGGCCCGGCCGCTGCCCGGCCCCCACACGGCCCCAGCCCGGCTCGGCCCCGCCGACCCACTCCACTCCCGCCGCCGGCCCTGTACGGGTAGCTCTCGGGTCGGCAGTTCCAAGCGTCTCATATTATTACTATTTAGAAACCTGCATGTGTTTTGAATATTAGAAGGCTTTCCTTTCTCTTCTTTATTGATTATGCCTTTTGGGGGGGGTAATTAGGGTTTTTTTTTTTTAATGGAGGTGCTGGGGATTGAACCTAGGACTTAAGTGCATGCTAAGCATGTCCTCTACTACTGAGCTATACCCTCCCCCCACCACCGAGTGAGGATCTATTTTTAAAACCCACTTAGTGGTTGTTTGTTGCATTCCTAGGAAGTCAGGATGCTACAGAGTTGTCATATAGCTGGGTTAGCCAGATGTAGCAAACAGAAACACAAGATGCCCAGTTAAATTTAAATTTCAGATATAAAACATAACTTTTAAGTATAAGTATATTCCAAATACTATATGAAACACACTAGAAATGATTATTTATTTGAAACTCAAAAGTTAACTAAGAGTCCTGCATTTTATCTGACAACTTAGTTCCAGCTAATTTAATGTATTTTTACAAGTAATAAAATTCGGAGAACATAAACATTTCTGATCTTTCCTCACATTTATGCTGATAAACCACATACTTTCCATATTTGTACAGCACTGAGCAACTTAATCGTAATTCATATCAATTACTTAAAAATACTAAAATTTCAAAATGAATTCTTCATTTGTGGAGTTTAGATTTTCATTGTCTATGTATCATGAGTTTATCAACTTTCAATTAACTACTCCTGGATAGACTGCAATACTGATTCCTATCAAAAAGAACAAAGAAGAATGTGGATTTCTGATTTATAAAAGCTGACTCTATTTTAATCCCATGAAAAGAAGAAAACATTAAAATAAAAATCATCATCAAATAAACATACAAAAGCAATATATGTACAATACATACAAAAACAGAGGGTACACAAATAGAGAAGGACTTGTTTAAGACAGAAAGGAGGCCACTGGAAGACTGAACTATAGGAAAACAAAGTCAAAGCAAACCTCAGCTCAAAATATAGGCAATGGTAAAGGATGAAGACACCTGGCAGGTTAACAGGGGCCAGATCACAAAAGGATCTGAGAGCCCTGCTCAGAAGTTCGGATTTTATTTTAAGTGCATACAGAAGCCAGCCATCAAATGATTTTAAGTGAGAGAATATTTTAAGTGACAGAATATCTGATTTAGTTTTTAAAATGCCATGCTACTCACTAGGAAGGACCAACGGTGTGGGCAAGAATGATTTTGGTGACTAGTTCTATTGCAGTTTTATTTGTATTCTACTACAGAAGCAAAAGCTAGGTTTAACAGTTGGGGTAGAGCAATGCACATGAATTCAGAAATTACATGACCTATATGATTAACAATATGTACTTTCAATTAGGAGTATTAAAAACAATCTAGATGGGAAGACCTAATATTGTAAAGATGTCACTTCTCTAAAATAATACACAAATGTAATTACTGTAATTTCAATCAGAATCTTCAGAGATGTTTTTAAAAACAGAACTTAAAAGCTGAAAATAAAGGTCAATTGGAACGGAGAGTGTGGAAACGACTATGATAAATCTGAAAATGTACAATGTTAGGAAACATGCTAATAAATATCGAAGTATATTATGTAACTATGTAACAGTATAGTCTTGACATAAGAACTCACAAAGAGATCAGTGGAAAAGAAGACTCCAAAAAATGACTCAGGCGTGGGAAAATGTGTCATTTGATGAAGTATGTGCTTCATATCGGTGGAGAATTGACTAGAATTAGGATATTAGGTACTTCTTTGGGAAAAAAGGAAAAAGGTAGATCTCTACCGCACACCACTCATAAATAAATTAACCCAGATGGGTTAAAGAGCTAAACATAAAAAAAAATAAAGCCTACAAAAGCATCTGAAGAAAATACTAGAGAATATTAGTTTTAACCCTGGGGCAAGAGAAACATAAAACAAATACAAGAAAAAAATTTAAAAACAAAACAGAAGTCATAAAAGAAAAGATCAGAGGATTAATTTTGTAAAAATGAAAAGCTCTGGTATGTAAAAGATACCAGTGGCAAAGTTAATGGAGATAGAAAAGGCTGAGAGAAAATACTTACAACACAGATTTAACATACAAAGAACTAAAAATTTATAAAGCACTCCTAGAAACTGTAAATAAAGGAAAATAACCTCTCTGCTGAAAATGCCGAAAGAGAGAAAGAGACAATTCCCAGAAGAAATGTTAAAAGTTGACAAATGTATGAAAAATGATTAAGTGCAGGCTCACCAGGAATCAGAAAAATGTGAATTAAATTAGGCTATTAATTGTCAATAAACAGACTGACAAAATATTAAAGATGGATGGTTCTGACTGTTGGTCAGGATGCAGAAAAACAGGTACTCTCTTACATGTTGGAAGTGTGAGTTTATATCTTTCTAGTTGGTAAAGCAAATTTCAGAAAGTAATTTGACATTATTTGTCAAAGTTTAACAGGTGCTTCTCAGAAGGTTAAATAAATACAGAGTTATCATATGACCCAGGATTTTTACTCCTAGGAAGATACTAAAGAAAAACAAAAATATACCCTCACAAAAATTTGCACATAAATGTTCCTAACCACATGACTCATTACGGCCAAGTGGAAACAAGCCAAATGTCCATCAACTGACAAATGAATAAGGAAAATGTGGTATAAACCACACAATCAAATATTGTTCAGTAAAATGGAGTGAAATGTGGGTACATGCTAAAACATGGATGAACCATTATGCTAAGTGAAATAAGCCGGTACAGAAGATCAGATATTACATGATTTTATTTATAAGAAATGTCCAGAATGGGCAAACCTATAGAGGCAGAAAGCAGCTTAATGGTTGCTAACGGCTGAAAGGGACTGACTACTAGTGGGTACACGGGTTCTCTTGGAGGTAAAAAACTTACCTAAAATTGATGTGGTGATGGCTTCACAACTCTTAAGAATATACTAAAAACCACTGACTTGGACATTTTAAATGGGAGATTCATAGGGTATGTGAATTATATCTCAAAAAAAAAAAAAGCTATTATTAAAAAAAAAAAAAAGACCAGAAGCCTACATTTTTAACACACATGCTAACTTTCAGGAATCTATCCTACAGGAAAACTTGACTATGAACAGAAAGACATATACAAAAAATGTTCACTGTAGAATTGGTTGTAATGGTAACCATCTAAATGTCCGAAAATGGTAACCATCTAAATGTTCATCAAAAATAAACTAAGAGCAAAAGACAAACTGGGGAAAAATATGTTTATTACATATATAACAGATTAAGCACTGCTGTCCTTTATATAAAGAAGAGAAAACTGTCCCATTTATCTTTCACTGAACCTTCTTGGCCTTTCCTGCATAACACACAATACCCATTTTCTTTCCCACTGCCAGACTGATGACTATCACTAGAAAAAGACCAGACTGTAAGTTTTGCTGGTTGGATCCACTGTAAATAATTCTATGTAACCTCATCTCAGCTCTTCATTCTGATTGCATATTTAAAAATTTCTCTCATAATTCATTTTTATATTCCTTCTTAAAGCAGTTGATTCAAACCCTTTCTATCCTTTATATGCCTCTAACTTTATCTGTGTCCCTTTATTTTCAGCAACTTCAAAATCCCAAGAGTTCTCCCAATTTAAGTCTTTCACATCTGAAAAATGACTTTTTCTTTTTTCAACACCTTTCCCCCCCCGCCTAGTTTTAAAAGAATGGTGCATCTTTGCAAGGTCATTCTTGTTCTTGACTCCTTTTATTGTCTCTTCTATTAAAAGTGGTTCCCTAATGATTCAGGTGACTTCTGTTCCTTAAAATAAAACCTATGTGTACCATCCCTTGGCCTTATTATGACCAGGCAATGAACTCCTCTCTTTCAATTCTTTCCTACATTTCCTTGCCTACATTAATTAAAATATTTACCCCCTATGATACAGCTTCTATCTCAGTTGCTCTTTTAAAGGAAAGACCTTGCTAAGTGCTAATTTCATTACCTATTCTTAGCCTTCATTCTCAGTGAATGAGAGATACAACATGGCTCATTCACTAACTCTATCACAGACAAGAATCTTTGGATTAAATTCTGAATCTCAGCTTCTCTCTATAAAAGAGGTAAATGAACTACCTCTCAGGGCTACTGTGAAATTTAATAATAAAAACTTCTTTCACATCATCTCACTTATTATTACCACACTCAAGACTCTTTAAGTGGAGTGTAAGAGGCAGTATGTCATGATGACTAAGTAAGTATTCTGGTTGTACAGAACCAGACCACTGTGGTTCATCAAAGCACAGCTCTGCTATTTCCAAATGAGCTTTATCTCTCTTGGGAAGCGTACATAGAATTTCGTGTGTGCCAGGTCCAAGGGCTGAGACAATGATTTCTTAGGAACTTGGGCCAGGCCTGATTGCTGGTTTTGGAAGGTCTCCTGAGGATGTAGAGGATGGCTGCAATTCACCCAGGGGACAAAAAAGCTGGGGTGGACTTTCCGGGAGTGTTCATCTACATGAGCTTTCCTGGAGGCTGACATCTTGACTGTATCATTGGCACCAAGACCCAGCTCCACCCAACAGCTTGTAGGGAAGCCTCAGACCAAACAACAGACAGGGTGGGAATACAGCCCCACCCATCAGCAGACTTCCTGAGCCACAGATGCCTTTAGACACAGCCCTACTGACCAGAGGTCCAGGACCAAGTTTCCCCAGGCAGTGGGCAGGCACTGACTTCTCCTGCCAGGAAACCTACATAAGCCTCTAGTCCAACCTCATCCACCAGGGCACATACCAGAAATAAGAAACAACAATTCCAAAGCCTGTGGAAGGAATCCACAAACACAGGCCAGACTCTACACTGGGACCAGATGGACCCTGGCTCTTGGGTGACAAGAGAGGAGGGTCCTGCTGGGACACATAGGACGTTTCCCACAGAGGGCCACTTCTCCAAGGTCGATAAACATAACCTACCTAAAAAACACAAATAGAAAGACAGACACTATGAGGAGGCAGAGGAGTATCTCCCAGGCGAAGACACAAGATAAAATCCCAGAAGAAGAAATAAGAGATGAGGAGATAGGCAATTTATCTGAGAAAGAGTTT